CTCCTTCTCCCAGCCGTACATGCTGAGCATATTACATACATGTTATGCTCGCATTATGGAATGTCCCTTGGGTCAGCTGTCCCAGCTGTGTGCCCTCCCAACTCCTTGTGCACCCCCAGCCTACTGGCTGGTGGGGTGAGGAGCAGAAAGGGCCTTGGCTCTGTGTAAGCGCTGCTCAGCAGTAACGAGAACATCCCCGTGTTATCAGCACTGTTTCCAGCACAAACCCAAAACACAGCCCTATGCCAGCTACTATGAAGGAAGTTACCTCAGCGGAAACTAGCATAGTTGCAAACGGCATAGGACTGTATAAAAATGTTTCAGGTGAGCCACTTAGGTAAAGACTTCAGGGATGCTTGCACATGCCAGGCCATGGGAACATTTCTTTCTGAAGCTATTTAAAGAAATAGAGGAGTGTTATTATCAGATTAGCAAGTGTAAAATGGTCTCTGCAAGGCAGTTGCATGTTTACCGACTACCTTTATGATGCTTGACAGAGCACAAGTCATTTCTGACATGAGAGCCTGCCTCAGCTGCTGTTCATTTTGGTTTTCTTTTTGCATCTCTGTCTAAAGTTTTGAAATCTGCCATTTTTAGCTATTGAACTTGTCTGTCCTCAGGGAGTGTGTGCCTCTTATCTGCTGAGACTTTCCTCTAACAGAGATCTCCGTGAATATTTGGTTGAACTATTTGTTGAGAGATTATTTGCTGGCCGCGAAGTTAAACGACTCCAGATTGCTTGTGATGCACTTCAAAATGCATTCTCAATCAGATTTTACTATAAGAAAAACTGAGGAGAAGGGAGGGTTTGCTTCAAGAATGAGCTGGATATGCAGGATTTCCTGCCAACTCCAAATGTCTGTCAGCAGTATATGTGATGTAAACAGGAAAAGAAATAGAATTAGTTGGTGTCAAAAACAGAAGCATGTCATGTTAGCAGGGTAATGAACCTATTGTAAAACATGAGAAGAATTACAAGTTACAAGAGGAAAATGAGCATTTTTTGTTTTAAAACTGGATGTTATAGTTCAAAGAAAAGTGCAATACTGAGTACCTTGGCTTTTTAGGGTTCTTAAAAAAAAAAGGAGAGGGTGGTGCAACAAACTGTATTACCCTACTGCACTTCCAGGCATATTTAGAGGCTTAATAATGATAGTAAGGCACAGTTGTTTCAAGATTAGCATTACTGAAGCTCCTTCTTGTAGTCACATCCCTGAGATATGTACTTGTTGCTTATGAAGAAGGTTGCATGTGTGAAAAAAGTGTCATGTTCCATTTCTCACTGGCAGACACGTTAATTTTACTAAATCTGCTTTGCTCATAATTTCTTAATTTCAGGTGTTATGCAAAAATAATGTAATTTTTGTACAGTATTTGTCTGTAGTGAGTCATTTAGGCAAAGAAAAACTAATCACCAAAATACAACCATGGAGCTAAAGTAACAGCTTTGGCTTGCACATGGTCTAAGCACTGTGATGATAAGGTTTAGAGAAACCTTAGAGCAAGATTGCTCTAAAAGCCTTGATGAGGTTTTTAGAGAAAGCAAGCCATTGCAGTTTTATCTTTATGAATGCATTTGTAGATTAAAAAGAGCTTAGACTTTAAGCCTCACTAACAATTTACTTGGGAACAGCAGCGCATTGTGTGTGGCTTTGCTTCAGCCTGGTGTGGATTATCTGCAACCCTCCTCTCCTACATTGCACTACCAGTAGTAATCCCATTACACGATTACCTCTATGTGTCCTCAACAGACAGATTTAGTCATAATTGAAAAGGGTACTTCAGGTGGGTTTAATTAACCATGTGGTCATTTTATTAACAGAGCCTCTTGTACCCTGCAGCTTCGCCTTAAGTGAAGTGAATTTATGGCCCACTAGGACATTCTTATCTACAGTTCTGAACATACTTGTCTGTTATTTAGTCAAATGTACACGAATCAATGGTTGACCATTTTTGTACTCATGAATCTTTAATGCAGCTGTACAAAATATCACTGTAATATGTGATTACAAATCTGTGGCCAAGTCATTTGAGGAAAGTGGTCTGTAAGCTGGTGAGCAGCAGCTCACTTCTCCTAGAGTTGTTTTGCTTAGCTCCGTGGAAGAGAAATGTATACTTCAGTGTGGTGAGCATTTGCCTCCAGTGTGCATGATGGCCTGGATCTGGATAGCCATTATCATCCCAGGAATGGGAAATCTTTATGCCTGGGCAAAATTGCACCAGTTTTTTTCTCAGTAGCAGGCGGGCAGGACAGCAGGGGAAGATGTTAATTATGAATGTAGCTGTGTTCTTGAAACCTGTTGTTCAGGCTTTTCCTTCAGAGAAACCATGTCTTGTTATATGCAAAGCTGCACCAATTCGGTCACTTTGACAGAGAGGTGTGTTGTGATCTCCAGCCTCTACAGTACAATTTGAACAGAATATTAGTGTCTAACCTGTACTGAACAGTGAAGTCTGGTGCACTAGCAGGACTATAGCACTATATTTACAGGTTCTGTTGGCCAGGCTGAGGAGGTCTAAGTGTTCCTACAGTTTGGCCTTTGCCCTAACATTTGTGTGTTTGGACCTGGTAACACAGGACACCCTGTGGTGTTAGAGCCTGGGGAGCCCTTATTGTTTCCAAGTTGTGTACAGAGTGGGAAAAGGCTGATAGTTGTGAGAACCTCTTAGCTAACTTTAACAACTAACTCTTAAAGTAGGTTGTTATTTCACTACTGGCTAAAAGAAATGCAGGACTGCATTTCTGGCTAAAATGTAAGGATCTGAAAGGAAAATACCGTTTCACAGAGGGATTATGCAGTGAAACCTTTCAGTTGGTAAAGTTTCACTGCATCCACAAAATGGTCAGAAGGAACATGTGGAAAACATTATACTGGCCTTTTCTTCTAAAATGAGGCCACTTCAAAAGAGAAACATAGAACTAACCTGCAGCAGCAGTTCCTAAACACAACCCTACTTCCTAGGAAAGGAAGGGAACACTAAAATGTTGTGTTGGGACAAAATTGTGAAATGCAGTCTTTAAACATACACCAAGCTAATGTACACAAAATGCTGAGCTGTGTGTTGATCACTGTGTTGCTCAAGTTTTGCCCATTAACTTAATCACTGAAGCATGGAGAAAGCTTCCACTGAAAAAAATGCTGGTTTGTAACATTCTGCCACCCCTGTATTACCCAAGTCAGGTCTCATTTAATGTTGTTGCCTGAAGGGTTGCTAAATGTGTGATATAAAAACTGTGAGTCTTCCCTTGATGGAGAGCATCTTTTCTTACCCGAGAGTTGCAGTTTCAGCCCATAAAGACAAGACGGGCACCATGGCAGGCATTTACAAGCTGGAGGAATGGACAGTGGGGCAGAGAGGTTTCAGGAAAGTAATCTTAGGTTTTTAATTTTCTGTTGAAAGACCTGTGAGGTATGTTCTGCTTAAAGTTGAAATCCATGCTGCATGTGGCACTTGGCAGTCATTTTATGGTTTCTTCCCAAGGACTTTCTGCATGCCCCTGATTAGTTTTTCAGAGAAGGGGAAGAAGAATGTGGCAGCCACCTGCAAAATGTAGAACGTTTTGTCATCCCTCAGCACCCTGCTCTGGCAAAACATGGGAAAGCACAAGTAGGACACTCCTACTGTGGTGCTGCTATCAAACAGGTATTGCTTTCTAAGCCATTATGTGAGAGGCTAGCAAAATCTGGAAAAAGAATAAGAGTAGTTTTAATTCCTTGTAGACTTCACCTGAGGGATCACCATAGAATCATAGAATGGTGTGGGTTGGAAAAGACCTTAAGATCACCTAATTCCAACCCTCCTGCCATGAGCAGGGATGTCTCACACTAGACCAGGTTGCTCAAGGCTGGATCCAGCTGGCCTTTAACACTGCCAGGGATGGAGCATTCACAACTAGTCACTGTAACCAAGCAGCACAACAGACTCTTGCAGCTTCTTTTCAGACTGGCTGCTTCTCTACTTGGGGATAGGTGTACCCTACTGCCAGCTCTAAGTTCATCTGGACCTGTGCCCACCACAGCAAGTTTCGGTTCCCCTCTGGTTACACCCTTGTGTTTCCTTTATCTTTTCTGTGGGCACAGCTTGCAAACCAGACCGGGGAAGCACACCCTGGTTTTCCACACATGGGTGGAAATTATTTCAGGGACAAACTCTGGTGGGATGCTTTCTTCTCCTTCAACTCCTCGTGTGGACTCATCTCAGATTATTTCCTCTTGCCTGCTATGTGGTAGTTATGCCAGTTATTATCCTTGCATGAGTAAGGTCAGAGGCCCTGAGTACATGACCTGGCACCAGAGGCTGAACAAATCTCTGCTTCAGTATGGTGAAGGTAATTGCTGTGCATACACTTGGGTGAGGGGTGAGTGGAAGTAGGGCTGTGGTAGATGCCAGGTTTGGCCAGGAATATGCCACGACTGCTTTGAGACGAGCTGATATTCCTTCACTCTTATACCCCTGGGTATGTCCACTTTTCATGTGAAGAATTGTGTTGCCATATTTTCATCTTTCTTCTGGGGTCATACCATTGGGCTGCCTGTCATATGTAAGGATTTCTATTCTTGGGAAGTCTTCCAACATCAAAAAGCCAGCCTGATGGTGTAGAGCTGCTTCTGAAGAAGCCCCACGTTAAGACTCTGCTTTGGTCAATGAACTCCTGGTGCAACGCACTGAGTTCAGGTTCTTGATGCAGTGGTTTCTGATTTGCTTGTTACAAGCCTTCAAGTGCTTCTAGTGTACCAGCATGTTAACTACTGCTGAACTGACAACACAAGCTTTAATCTGCACTGATTCTTTAGCCTTGTACTTGATGATGCAAGAGCTGAAGAAACAGATGGACCTGGTAGAAAGACCCACTGAAGCCCAATAATTTAGCTAACTGTTTTGTAACAGTGTGTTTTCAGAAGCGAGAAGATTAAGTGGATCAGCTGGTGTGGTCTGTGCCTGGTGGAAAGAAGCTTATTTAAGAGGACGGGAGAATCTGTGCCTCAGTCCAGAAAGAAGATGGGTTCTACAGAAGACCTTGACTATCCTCAAGACATCTTGCAATACAGTAGTGGATTTTTAGTCTCAAAGGTAAGAAATATAACTCAGTCTTGGATAGATGTCTAACAATATGCAGACAGAAATATTCAAGGTTCTCACTTTAGGTGCCGAATGTAAGTCTTTGGAATGAAAACAATCTCATATGAAAGCATTCTGTCTGCTTCTCTTGGCAGGAAGGAAATTTGAAAAGAAAAAGGATTTGAAAGCGGCCTGACCCCTCAGGATAGACTTAACATTTATTGAGACCTCTCTGACCTTTGGGGGCTTGGATGATCAGACCTTCTCTGCATGAGGCTTTATAAAAAACACAGGGTTTTATAGCTGAGGGCTTGCTGTCTGAATGACTCAAATGTAGAAGTTTCCTTCAGTGGTGGGATTTCTTCCCACTTTTCATTCCTGGAGTTCGAGAAGTAAAGAGCTGACTTGAACTGCCTCTTTCCTTCCCTATTAAACCATGCGAAGAACAAGATTTTTCAAAGAACTTCCTTCCTTCTGCCAGGGTTTTCTGTATGTATTGATGCAGACATCTGAGCTTAAGAGCTTCTATGTGTTGCCTCTCTACACATGAAAGTCTGGTATAATGGTTGTTTTTCCAAGCAGCATTTGATTAAGGCACAAAGGTAATTGTTCACTGATGTTTGCCTTTCTGTGTGTAAGCATATGAGCGTATAATTGTAATATCTACCGTAGTGGAGATTTTTTCCTCATTTACGATTTAGTTACATTTTCTATTGTCCCTTGCTTCACCTCTGGCCAACATGGTAAGGTAAAGAATACTCTTGGGGTTGTACAAATACTGCTGCATCCTGTGGCTCCTGAAAGACAGAGCTGGCAGTAAAGAGAGGAAAAATGAATCATGAAAAATCCTCTTGTCCTCTTTGGGCAAAAAGCAAGAAAGGCTGTGAGTATGTGCTCTGGAACTAAGGAAGAGCCAGGAACATTCACACCCAAAACAGGTCTCTCAATGTGAACCTTTGTGAGCCAAAATCATTGGCTGGCTTTTCCAGAAAAGGAAAAGAAATGGAAAAAAAGTGCGCTGCAAGCACTTCATGCTATTGTCAGTGTTCAGAGAAACTTCAGTTTAATCATTTGAATTGTTTATATGAAATATGATTTTTAAATGAAAAAATATTTTGATGTGTAAGTTTTCTCCAGCAAAGCTTTAGAAATGTTTTTGTGCTTTCACCTGATGCCCCACTCCCACCTTTCCTTACTCCTAGGTTATGTTCACTGCTTGTGAGTTGGGGGTGTTTGATCTTCTGCTCAAGTCAGGAGAGCCTCTGTCAACAAATGCCATTGCTGCATGCTTGGGTACCAGTACCACAGGGATGGAAAGATTGCTGGATGCCTGTGTGGGGTTGAAGCTCTTGACAGTAGAGCTGACACAAGGAGGAGGTAATAAAGGCAGAAGAAGGGGAAGAAACCATAAGGTTTAAGCCTCTGATGGTTTGGAAAGTGAGGCAAGGTAAAGAGAAATGGTATCTGGTGTTAGGACAGTTGCTGGAAGGAGAAAAGAATCACTTGGGAACGCCATCCCCTCTTCAACTGAAAGAGAAGCAGCAAATGTCAGCATTATTAAATAAAGGTGTAAAGTAGAACCCAGGTGAAGGGCTCTATATCCCTAAATATCTTTGTGCAAGAGCCTCAGAGACCTTGGAGAAGATATTCAGGGTCTCTGCAGAGTTGGTCTCAAGAAAACTCTGAGGTGTGGGCATGATTTTAAACCTTCGAACAAAATACCAGGGTGGATGGGCAATGGCATGATTTAAAAACACGTTTTGTTTATCTTTGGGGGTTTAGCACCATGTGAAGTATTTCGTTAGGTTGCTGATCTGAACTGAGAGGTGATATAAGTTTCTCCTTGCAGAAGAAATGTTGAGTCCATGAGGTGAAGAGGGATTTTTGACCATCTGACTGCTGGTCAGGACTAGCCAGAGTCTTGCAAGTTGTGTCCCTGGCTCTGACTTTTATTGTCTTGCCCTGTTTTAGGGCTTACCATAGTTGCTCAATGAGTTTAAGGAGACCAGAATCTATCTTCTAAATTCCTTTTGTGTGACAGTCCCATGGGTGAGTGATGCCACTGCAGATGTGTTGGAGGAAGCAGGGGAGATTTCTGCAAGTCCTTTAGGCTTTCAGTCTTTCTGTAGAAGGTCCTGCCCTAGTGAACTGAGAGGGAGTAAGTGTGGTTAGCATGCTGTTTTGGGGACTTGCCTCCCACTTGCTGACCTTGTTGACTGGCAAAGATGCTTGTCTGCAAGGGCTTCTTATTTAAATAGAGCATACCAGAGCTATTGGTATATGATGACACTCATAAGGAATTCCTCTTGCTGTTCTCGAAAGAAATGTTCAGTGCTAGAGTAAGTCTGGGTAGGTAGTGCTTAGATTGAATGGGGCAACATACATTTCAGCAGCCCTCACCTGCTGCTTATTGTAGTGGAAAGACTGTAGAAGCAACGTAGTTGTTTCATTAGTCACGTAGACATCTTTTGGTGATAGGTACCATGCTATGCAGTAGGCTTTGCAAGGTGGTATATACATGTTAGTAAATATATTTATTTCACCTATTAGCCCTCTACAGAAACACAGACATTTCCAACATCTACCTTACAAAATCAAGTCCCAAGTCCCAGTATCATATTATGATGTATTACTCCAATACAGTCTACTTGTGCTGGCACTACCTGGCTGATGCTGTGAGGTAAGGAGGAATGTTGTGCGTTGTCTGTTGCAGACTGCTTTGTGACATCTGTGTGGCTGCTCTGAGTAGCGTATTTCTGGAGAAGGGCACAAGGAAGATGCTGGCTCACTCCCAGAAATAAAAAACAACAGACCATTTCAGTTCTTAATGCAGCCAATATGTCTTCCTGTTTTTTCTTGTTTTCCATTTCTGTGTTTTTGCTTACCTTTTCTTTCTGATGGTAGTGGTGACCTAGGAATCAGATTTCTATACATTTGACCTTCAGGAAAGCATTTGAACATCACAGTGTCTCTTAATACATCACATTAAATGATCAGCAATGATAGCTAAGGTTACACCTTTGCAAAAGCATCAAGTAGTTTAATGTGGGGCGTGAGTCTCACTTGTTCCAGTCTGTGTAACTGATGATTAAACATGGTGTGTGTCATGGTGATGATTGCACCAGCCTTGTACCTTTACCTGGGATATGTTTCCATAAATCATAGAGTGGTTTGTGTCGGAAGGGACCTTAAAGCTCACCCAGTTCCAACCCCCTGCCATGGGCAGGGACACCTTCCACTAGACCAGGTTGCTCAAAGCCCTGTCCAACCTGGTCTTCAAAAGACCAGTCATTCATGCGAAAAGCTGAGAAATACATCAGTATATTTTGAGATGGCAAATGAGGGTGCCCTTACAGACATTACAAACAGGCTGGCATATATTCTGTATGAAGCTGAGCACCTTTCACAATGATGAACTAGCTGAAATTACAGCCCCAAGGTGTATTTGAGATAAAAGAAATAGAAATCCACACTCATATGCTTTTTTTGGTTGCTATTTTAGAGAAGGAAGAAACCAGTATGAAAGAGCTTTTCACATTTCATCTAAGGACCCTTTCGAAGCAATGTACAGGTAATCAGTATATTTATAGAAATTTTATTATTCTTATTATAGCTAAAATTAATGTTTTTAATTATGGCTCAGGACAATTAAATATGATGATTTGAGAATCCCACTCACCATGCAGCATTTTCCTTTCTCAACAGTATCCATTACTGAGACATTGTCTAATATTTTGATTAGAAGTATATAATTTCCTATTCTGAAAAACATATCACACATCTCTGGCACAGAAAGAATGGTATTTAAAGGGAAAAAAAAATCCCTTGGAAGCCTGAGAATTAGCAGCATAATATACTGTTGGACTTCACTAGTCGTAATTCCATATTTAAATGCATGAATACATAGCTGTACCCTTCTGCTAGGTAAGTTTATACGTAAAAAGAATGTATTTTGTGTCAATAAAACCAGAGATTAGTGTTTAAGCTAAAACTTTTAATAACATTTCTATGATAGGAATCACCAAGGGTATTGTAAATTACCTGTGCTGCGTCTGTTTGCATTACTAGATCAGAAGAAGAAATGCTGAAATTCATGGCTGGCCAGAACTCAGTATGGAGTATATGCGGCAAGGATGTGCTTGTTGCATTTGACCTTTCCCCTTTCAGGCAGATCTATGACCTAGGAGGTGAGTGTCAGTAGATCTTCTTTAAAAGCCTCTGAACTGTCTTTTGACAGTGGCCTCTCCTGCCCCTCCTATTCCCTTTGGGCAACATGGGGCCAAGCAAACATACCTTGCCAGCTTCCATGAGACTCAATGCGCTATTACCTGCATCACTTCATGGAGGAGCTGCTGAGCAAGTTGTTTTTGTGTCAGCACTGATTTTTTTTTGCTTTCTCCTCAAAGGAGGTGGAGGAGCTTTGGCCCGGGAGTGTGTTTCTTTGTACCCAAATTCCACAGTCACAATTTATGACCTGCCTAAAGTCACGCAAGTGACCAAAGAGCAATTTGTTTCCCCTGAGGAGCATCGTATTGCTTTCCATGAAGGTAGGTGCAGACGGTGGCGTAAGCGTTGTCACAGCTGTTGCTCCTGCACCCCTTGTCTCTGCTCAGAGGTACCATACTGAAGGCTCAGGTCTCCAGTTGCCCCTTACGTGGGCAGTGTCCCGTATTTCAGCCTCCACAGCCCAGGTCTGCAGTTCATTGCTACCACAGGACAGTGCCAGTTGTGCATCCGCAGCTACCTTCTATTGGAGAGACGACTCTGTTTGTTATTCAGCAACCCAGATGCTCTTTACTCCTAAGCAGAACTATTTTGTTGCTTCAGAATGAGGCTACTGTAACACAAAAATAATAATAAAAAAAGTCATGCAATTTTGAAAAACTGCCATACCATGTTACGAATCTTCCTAACGCTCCCTTTTCTCCGGCACAGACCTCCTGGCAGATGTGTGGGGTGCCAGGCCTGCTCTGAGCAAGGGGTTTCCCTTCTCTGGTCATGATTGATTGACTTTCAAGTCCTAACATACGTCAGGCTTTGAATATTAATGAGCTAGTCCATGTTTTTCTTGCCCAGTTCATAGATCTTGCATGGTCTTTGCACAATCTATGATGAACATGAGTGTAGGGAGGTCTAACTTTAAATGCTTACAAAAGCCTTTGAAGTGTTGTAATGACTTTATGTTGCTTGAAGATAAGAGAGAGGGAAGAAGCCTTGAGGTAGGAAGGGAGTATATAAAAATCGAAGATGGAGAAACACAGGAAAGGTTACATGTGACAGTGGAGCAAAGAAATGGGAGAGGAAATGACTAAGATGTAGAGAGAAAAATCTGAATGTGGTACACGAGGTGCTGAAGAAAAGGTGTCATGATGAAGCTAGTGCTAGGAGGTGAGAGATGTGTATTTTTTCCTTGTGGATTTATGATGTATTTCTGTTGTTACCAAAGGTCTTTGAAAATTTGCTGAGAAAAGGGAAAATTACTTCCTTTTTCTTCCATGACAGAAACTGTGAGAAACTATCCTCTTAATGCTTTACGAATCTGAATTCCTGTCACTGGAGAAAACTTAGTCTCAAATGCTTTCCTGTGCATCAAAGGCTGTTTTAGATGAGCTGCTGCTTTTAAACATTTTAGACCTCGAGACTGAACAAGAAAAGAATGCAGTGCCACAGAGGACTTTTACCTGGTAACTCAGTCTGATGTGACTGATGGACATGGCAAGCCCAGAGTCTTCAGAACTGAACAGAACTGAAAATATTTGCTTAACTGAGCCATCTGTGGTTTAGGGATTTTGCATAATACGTGTATTCTTGTTTTACAGGAGACTTCTTTAACGATTCAATTCCAGAAGCTGAACTGTATATTTTATCTAAGATACTGCACGATTGGGATGATGTCAAGTGCAGGGAACTGCTGGCAAAGGTCTACAAATCTTGCAAACCTGGTAGGTGTGAGCTTTTGAAGAGCAAAGAGACTCTCAGCTATCAGTAATGAAAAGCACACCAGTCTCTATGCTCAATTTGGGTGGCAGAGTTTCAGTACAAGGTTTTCCTTGATTTAGTCTTTTGCTTTCCAAAACCAGCCATGCGCAGCTGAGCCAAATAGAGTTTGGGCTTCTAGTTTTAGTCTCCTTCTCTTGAGGTACTCCTCTTTCAAGGTATTCAGGTGTAAGGATTGGGGATTTTGGGTATTGTTTATATAGGTGCAGATGACATAGTAAAAATCCCACTAAGCATCACATTGAACCCTCAGAGCTTTGAAAACACTGCCTACGCAACCAGGTTCTCAGCAAAATCAGTAAGCTTCTGTGGATTTCATCTGGGGGAAATGGGAAATTTCCATCTCAGCTATAACACTCCCTTCAGACCTGGAACATCAGTAGCTAGGTATCCAAGCAGAGGCATGCTCCAGTGCTTTTGGTCTTTCATTGTCTTCTGTGATGCTGAATTAGGGCTGAACATAGAGGCTGCTTCTTCCTGAAACTAAAGGTTAGGATCTGACCTAGTAACTCAGCTGAAAAATAGCTTGTCTTCTCAGAGCTCAGTGTGTGCTTTATTTCTCTTTTATTCAACCAGGTGGTGGAGTGCTGCTGGTTGAATCACTACTGAATGAAGATAGAAGTGGGCCTTTAGAAACTCAACTATATTCAATGAATATGTTGGTCCAGACAGAAGGAAAAGAGCGAACAGCAGCAGAGTACAGCAAGCTCCTCGAGGCAGCTGGCTTTGGAGAGATTCAAGTCAAGAGGACTGGAAAACTCTATGATGCTGTTTTAGGAAGGAAATAATAACACCTCTTTCATGTATTTACACAATAGAGTAAGTCAAGAAATGTGATATTCTCTTCTTAGAGGGGAATCATCAACTCAGCTTTTACGTAAAGCAGCCAACTTTCTTGTAAGCTGATGCATTGTCAGGAGAATCACTAACGATAGATATTGAGCACGCATGGATTATGAGTCTTGCAGACTGACTAGGGCTTGCCTTTGGATCTGAAAGGGAGAGAAAGAAGTTAATGCCTGTTCCACAAGAAATAACCCAGAAAGAAAACATGCAGTGTGTTTGTTTCAGGTCTTTTCATTCTTTCCAATTTTAATACTGTATCTATCAAAAGCAATGCTGAATTTGTAATCGAATAAAACTGATCCCTGTACTGAGCTCTGTAACCTGAATTTTTATTCCTGGGGAACTGATATAGTATAAACAGAGGAAATAACATCTCTTTATGGTTAGTCTTTTTGGGAGAAATCCTATCTGAGCCTTGAGCAGTTTGGTGTGAAAAGTTATATTAATTTTTTATTTCCTCTAGATTTTGATATAAGTTATGAAAAATAATTTTGTAGCTTGACTGGCTGAGGCCCAGTGATGCTTTTTACAGGGCAGGCCCTGAGACACCTGAGAGGGAGAATGATGCAGCCAAGTCACTCAGTTACACACAGGGGAACACCTTATTATTTCTTTAGCTCGTTTGATCAAGCACAACCTGCCATAATCCACCCAGTTTTCTGGGAAGTGGAATTACAGGTTACTGGAGTGAGAAACATTTGCAGAAAGACTCTTTGCAGCTGTGGCTTGAATACAAATGCATTTGTATATTAAACTGAATACTAGAAAAGCCTGAGACAGTTTTCTCAGTAAGCCATCTGCATGGGTCTCCTGCTTCTTTGATTGTAGGAGGAGCATAGGAAGAAAGCAGCCTCAGTAGGGGAAAGCTGACCTTTTGTCACATTTTGTCATATCAAAATCAAATCACAAGGCTGCAGTGGCCTTTTTCATCCTTAAAAGCAACAGAACACAGTTCATGAGCCACTATGCACTGGAGCAGATATTGACAGGATATTGCGGGAGTTGGGGTAAGTGGTTTTGGAGAGTTCACTCCTAAGCTGCAGTCACGGCAAGTTATGTGGCACAAAGGTGACTTTGCCAGGAGCTGCAGCCTGTAATGTGTTCTGAATGCTTGCTCGCTTTCCAGACATCCTGCAGCAGCCAGGCACCAACACAAATAATGAAACAAGGTTGACTCCAGTCTTTATTTGGAAGGCCCAAAGCAAAAGGATTAATAAAATAACTAATTTAACAAGACAGAATAAGAAGAGGAATATAGATAGCAAGTAAATCTTACATCCATTCAGATGCTAGGTACCCATGTTCATGCAGCATTGGATGGAGCCCAGCTGGATTTTTCTCCTCAAATGTGAGGTCTGTGGATGTCTTCCATCTGCATGCCATTGCAGTAAAGCAATTTTGATGATGTGCAAGTCATAATGCCCCAATTAATCAATATTGATAGAAAGTGGTTACCAAAATTTTAACTCTGCATCTCTCCCTCCATCTGTCTGCTAATGGGCCATTATTTTTTGAGTGTAAACTATTCAGTAGCTGTAGAATAGAGGTGAATGCCTGAGTTATTTTACTAATGAAACATTTGTTATCAGGAAGTCGCATCCTGAGTGCTGCTGAACTATGCCGCTCCAATTTTGTCAAAGGCCCCTGAAGTACAAACACCAGAGGACCCAGGGGTATAAACAGAAATCACAGGTCATCAGTTACAGATAAATGCAATTGGAACAGATGGGTAGAAATAATTTTACAGCAGAATTTGAAAACATGTAGACTTCTATAGCAGACTAGCAGAGCTGCCCATGGTGGATCACATTGCAAGATGTCTGTAAGGAGAATTTAAAGCAGCAATGAACCAGACTACTCACTACTTGCACTTGTTCAGAACTGATTGTGTAGAATGGGTCCCTCCAGTGCTCATATTTTTGCATGTATAAGTATTTTTTATTATTGTTAAAAGGAAGTGTACCTCTATTTTTTGTAGTTGGTCTGTTATTGTGCTCCGTAGGCTTTTTTTTGAATTTGTATGCACCATTTTGTCCTTAGTAACAGTTCAGAAAATCCATTTGGCCTGGTATAGCCTCACATGCCTGTGAAAGTCCAGAGAAAAGATGGATTCCACAGAAGGCCTTGACTATCCTCAAGTCATCCTGTGATGCAGCAGTGGATTTTTAGTCTCAAAGGTAAGAAATGTAACTCAGTCTTGCATAGACATCAAAGATTAATATGCTCAAGGGACTTATTTAACACCTCTGAGAAGAAAACAGCTAATAACAGAGCATCCTAATACTACGCTGACTTTAAACTTGGAATAGGCATGATAGAAGTCTAAAAGGAAAAAAAACCTCAGTGCAGACATGGCCCTCAGGATGGACCTAACTTTTATTGAGACCTCTCTGACCTTTGGAATCTTGTATATGTAGATCTTGTATCTTCATGAAGTTTTTAAAACACAGGTGTTTATAGTTGAGGAATTGCTGTTTGACTACCTCAAATGTGGAAGGTTCCTTTGGTGATGGGATTTCTTCCTGCTTTTCATTTTTAGAGTTTGAGAAACAGAGGACTGATTTGAACTGCCTTTTCTCCTCCCTTTTAAACCATACAAATAACAAGATTTTTCAAATATCTTCTTCCCTCCTCAGATTTACCATGCAGCAGACTGAGTTTGATAACATTTGTCTATTATGTCCCTTCAGATGGAAGGGGCTATGAATACAGAGTGCATTATAATGACCTTCTTCCAGACAGCACATCATTAAGGCAGACAGGCAGTAGTTTCAATTTCCTTAATGTTTGCTGATGCTGTTTTCCTGTGTGTATGTGCATTTGCATAAAATTCCTCTGTTCAATTTCAGTTTTATTTTTCCTCATTTACAATCTACAATGCTTTCAAAATTCATATTCATGTCACATTTTTGAGCAGTAATCTCAACCATGTTCTTACTGAAGGTAAAAGGAGTTTTCCCTCTCATAGATGTTACCAAATCAGCTGGCAACAATACTAAATCAGGAGGAACTATAGATTCCTTTGAGGATGGAGATGCCTTACAGAGACATCTTGATAGCCTAGACCACTGGGCAATCACTAACTGGATGAAATTTAACAAGTACAGATGACAGATTCTGCACCTGGGATGGTGTAATCATGGGTGTACTTACACAGTGGGATACAAGATGCTTGGGAGCAGCCCTGAAGAAAGGGATCTGTGGGTTTTGTTTGATGGTAACCTCAATATGAGTCAACAATTTGCCCTCATGGCCAAAATGCCAAGTGTATCAATGGGGTGTATAGCTAACCTGTTGAAAAAAGTGGTTGTCCTACTATACTAAACGTTGGTGCAGCCTCACCTCTAGTAATGATGTGTGCAGTTTTGGGCTCTACAATATAAGAAGAATATAAAAATGAATGTGTCCAAATTAAACTAATGGTGAAATACTGAAAAGAAATGTTGAAATTCATGGCTGGCCAGAACTCAATATGGGGTAAGTGTGATAGAAATGTTCTTGCTGCATTTGACCTCTCTTCTTTCAGGCAGATCTGTGACCCGGGATGTGAGCATCAGTAGATCTTTAACAAGGCTCTGAACTGTCTTCCTTTACAAGCTCTGAAAAGAAAAATCACTTCTAATTTATATGAGTGATGGAAAGCAGGACATAATTCAGAATCTTGTCAGCAATAATGGGAGTGGTTTACTGTCTTGGGGGCGTTAAAAAGGGAAATTTGAGAGTGGTATGACCATTAGGAAACTCAGTGTTTTTCTCTACAGTCTCATTTGTCTGAGTAGTGGCTTATCCCCTTGTGAACGTACAAGGTTTGGTAATTTTCATGCTCTGCTTAATACATTCTTCTAGTGCCAGACTTTTTCCCTCCTCCCTTTCAGTCAGTGCCATTACGTTAAGAGATTGCAGCCTGTCACACAGCTGTCCCAGTGCTGATGAGACTGCCAGGATCCACAGGAGCCGCCAGACTCCCTTGTGGGCTCCATCATTGCTTCCCAGCAGCTGGTTTATTGGTTCTCTTTTTCATTTCCTATCTTTCTAACTGTGGAAAGAGGAAGCCACTGGCAATCTGCTACTTTTTAAATCAGTTGGCGAAGTACAGCTCACAATAGCCCAACTGTCTGGTGCAGGAAGCATTTTGAGGAGGTGGTAGGTAGTGAGTATCTGTACAAGTGGCTTGAATGCTAGTTGAGGCTGCAGCAACTGGTCTAGTTTCACAGCAGAGTATAAAAAGTATACAACTAGTATAAGAAGTAAGGATTTTTTTCCTTGTCAAGGCCTGGTCTCCAAGTCCTAGAAGAAGAAACTACCTTAATTTTGATATGTCACACTTCTTAGTGCACAACACTGGGATATTAATGTTCATCAGGCTTTCCTTTAGCTAAAGAGTTGGGTGTTTTGATGTATTATCTCAGTCCAAGCTGGAGGTTCACTTGAAGAAAGTTATCCTCTGCCATTGCTTAGCTCTAACTTTTTAGTAGAGCTGTGAACCCTTATGATTGCACAGGAAAAGCTGGAAAGACTAGGGCTCCAGAAGACAAATAAACCCATGTCTCCTGAACTGCTGCAAATTGCAAACGAAGATAGTTGAATCACACTATCCAGATACAGGCTATATAGACTATTCCCCAAACTATCTCTCAGAAGCGCTGGCCACCACACAGCTCATGGTCTTTGGATAGAATAGGACATACAGATGTTCTCTTTTCAGCATCACTTTAGTCTGGTTGAATAGTGCATTATCTGATACTGTATTTAGAATGTTATGCCCATACGCAGCTACAAATAAGTTATAAAGACCAGAAGCTGCATCTTGTAACATTGCTACAGTGCACATTTTGAGATGATCAAGAGAGATCCAAGTCCTCCAGAAGGTAGTATGATAACAGCAGTCTGTTAAGTTTGTGTGACTATAGAGACAGGTATTAGAATGGCTGTCTCTACCTGC